TGTATTGACTATCAAAACTGTCCTATTAATCAGCTGTGAAACTGTCTCATTCATATTTATTTCTCAATAAAAAATAAATAAAAAACACAGAATCTACTCTCTGAGGGATTTGCAAGAATAGGATACAGTGCTACTGAATAGTAATCATGTTGCGCAATAACCCTCTTGCATTTGCTCTAACTGAACTCTTACGTTCATTGACAAATGGCTCTCCAAGCTACTCCATGCCCTAGCCACTGGCAACGGTCATGCTACACCTTATTTCTACGAATTGAAACCTCCCTCCCCCCATATATTTGCGATTATGCCATTTAGTATTTGTCTTTCTGTGCCTGGCTTGTTTCAATTAACATAATGTTATCCACATTCATCCATGCTGCACAACATTTACTTGTTTCCTTTAGCAAATAGCTCTTTGGATCCTCTGCCAACACTATGTTTCTTGTTTTGTTACATGAACAACTTGACAAGGGCAAACACCATGGCACAGAAGAATTACAAAAATGATATAAACTACTAAAAAAAAAAAAAAAAAAGAAGAGTACAATCATAAGATTATCATCTGTAGGTGTCCAGGAAAAACAACCTCTTACAGGTTAGGGGAGACATACATTCAAGACGCTGCAGAGTTGAAAACAATGAACTATATCTGGAAAAACTGTCCAACAGTAATAGAAATTTTAAATTCCCCAAATAAACAAAAGATATGGAAATTCATAAGCACTGTACATGTCTTATGAGAAGTGCTAAAGTCAGGAATTTACGCTGAAAAATTAAATAACACTGAAATATACATATACATATGTGTTGAAGCACATTAAAACAATGTAAAAAATTTAAAAATAAAACAATCTAAAGTTTTCTATGAAATGAAAATATATACACAATGTAGACTATATTATCTTAACTGTGATACAGTAAAATAATTTTAATTTTACTATATACTTTAAATGACAAAAGCATAAAATAGCCACAAATCTACGTTGATGGATACATAATATAAAACGACATCACTTATGGCATGACTAATATAGCATACAATAATATATCTAAAGAAGTGGGGTTTACATGTAAATGAAGTTTCTGATAAAATTTTTTGGCAGAACCAGGAATTGAACTCAGGTCCTTGCGCTTGCCAGGGAAGTGCTTATTCCACTGAGCCATCTCCCCAGCCCATCTGATAAAATTTATTATTATAACTTCAAGATGCTTTATATAATACTTAAGATAATCACAAATGAACTCTTTACTGAAGATAAACAAAAAACAATTAAAGAGAGATCAGAACACGTCACTATGAAACTCAGTAAAGCACAAAGGGCGCCAAGGCGCAAAAACACAGACAAGCCAGGTGACGCCTGTAATCCCAGCACTTGGGAAGCCGAGGAAGGAGATCAGTGCAAGTTTGAGACCAACCTGGGATGCAAAGTAAATTCAGCCAGTCTAAACTGTACAGTGAGATCCTGTCTCAAAAAGACCAAAAAATTTAGACAAGATATAATGTCTGTATCTTGTCCTCTGAAACAGTACTATGA